AAAGCCACATACAATTGACCGTGCGAAAAACAGCTGATACTTATATCTATACCCACAACTTTTAGAGTCTGACCTTGTGCTTTATTAATTGTCATGGCGAAACATAGGCTCACTGGAAACTGAATTCGTTTAAAATTAAACGGAAAATTTTTTGGAATGAGAGGAATCTGAGGAATAAAACCACTAGTTATGACCTTTTCCGCACCCTGTTAAATATATATATATTTATAAGCCATTTCTGAGATTAGCGTGAACAGACAAACAGACAAAGAAAAAGTTAGTTACATTTTTGGGTTCGAAATCGACATAACAATAGCCCCTGCTATTTTTTTTATTTTTATTTTCAATGTACAGACAGCACTTTTCTACAATTTTATAATATGTATAGATAGATAGTGTTCGACGTGATTCTTTAATTTGACGTAACTTTTTTATTTATGAACCGATTGACATGAAACAAACACTAAAGCATAACTGAAGCATACCACAATATATTCGTGAAAACCGCATCCAACTCGGATAAGCCGTTTCTAAGATTAGCGTGAACAGACAAACAGACAAACAGACAAAAAAAAAGTTAGTTACATTTTTGGGTTCGAAATCGACATAACAATAGCCCCTGCTATTTTTTTATTTTTATTTTCAATGTACAGACAGCACTTTTCTACAATTTTATTATATGTATAGATACTTCTATGGGGCCGGCCCACGCTTCACCTTCCGGCTCGTGGTCTCCAAACAAATCGTATCATACTTGACGTATGTATATCATGTTAAATATATTACTCATGTGTTATGATTCATATTCGTATTCATTCACACATTAATCATTAAGTAAGTACTTGGATATCAGATAGTTTCCACATAAGACCGTCCCTTGTCATAGTCTCATTAGTCAGTTCGGTGCAGATACCTTTTTTTATGACGGGGGGAAACCTTCAAAAGGCGCCTAGCCTTTTTGGGGTTAAAAGACTAGGGAGTGTGGGATTTTTACCTCACTAACCAGCCCGGTGGGCACCGTCAACACCTGAATGGAGGCACCGAGTCCTCTAATAGACACCTGCTCCGGAGCCTCTACGGTTGACGCAGATATATAAGTGCAATTCCCGAGGCGTGCAAAATATTATACCAATGGATATTTCAGCTTTTCGTAGTTTTGTAATACCTATAGAATCTTCTTAAGCATGAGGATGAGGGTCCGAAATCTGATAAGTACCATCAGTGTAAGTTGTTTCCAATTACGTAAGTATAACGTCTAGTCTCACAATTGTAAATTTAATCTCGCTCACATTCATAGACGTAATACGAGGTTATGCTCATAAAGTCCATTTACAATAGTGCAAAGTAAAATTATGGGGGAATCAAGTTGTGCAATTTACACGCACACTCTCCAGTAAAAACCGATTGACTTGCAACTTTGCGCCTGTGTCTTTGACATATTATCACGCATTTTATCCCCAAAGGGGTAGGCAGAGGTGCACATTACGGCATTTAATGCCACTGTACTTACAATGTAACATCCACTTTTCACTATTTATGTTATGAGTCCCATGTTATAGGGGGTGAGCCTATTGCCATATACCGGGCACAATTCCTAACTCCGGGTTACTACTGAGATTATTACAAAAAAAACAGTACTTAATACTTTGCCCGACCACTCGGCCAGTGAGGCAGTCTATACTATAGATAAATAATTTCAAATTGATCATTCAAATTACCTTACTCTTATTTTATGAATAATTTATACTGTATACAAGATGTATCTCATGACGGAATGGCAGCAACGACTGTCGCAATCGAGGGGTGGGCTCGCTGCCATCGCAGCGAAAAGTGCCCTTTTTGAGGAGTGGCTTAAGAGACGCTACGGCGATCTCACCTACCGCCTAACGCAAGTCCTTACCATTGGAAGGAAACGCCCGGGTGTCATCACTGCGAGGACCGGCCTGAGGACACGGTGGAACACACAGTGGGGGAATGCCCTGCGTGGGCTGAGCACCGCCGTGCCCTCAGGGACGTGATCGGCGATGGCGGCCTAGTGCGGGCCATGATGCGGAGCGATGGGGACTGTGATGCCGTCTCCTCCTTTTGCGAAGCAGTCATGCTAATTGCTAGCTAAGGAGGAGGCGGGACGCGTGAGGCAGCAAAGCGCTGCCTCCTCGCAATTCAGCCATCGCGAAGGACACTCCGGTCGTCGTCGGGGATCGCGGGACGATCTCCGGCCACCGTAAGCGCGGGCCTGCAGACGGCAAGCATGGATGGCTCCCAGTCCGACCAGAAACAGACCCGAGCGTACGGCGCGTCGAGTTCCGCGCGCACCTCAAAGGGCCATCACGGATGGGGCCCAACAGGGCTGATGCCGATTCGGAGTCGCGGAGAACCTAACGGGTCACCGGGGCTCCGGCTCGACGTGCAGGAGAAGGAACGAGGTGGTTTTAAGTCAGTAAGAGTCTGACACTCCCTCCCGCCTCACCCAGGCGGGAGCAGTCATTCGATGGTTTTCCCCCCTTAAAACAAAATACTAGGTGTATTGTGAACGCGTCTCTACAAGTGAGTACAACCACATAATTATGCAGACGCAATTTATTAGAATTGGTACAATCGTTTTTACATTATCATGATTCATTCAGCAATTGGGAAAAATTTATTTAACATTGTCTGCTGCCTTGTCGTTTGGAGATCAGGTGATCTTTTTCCTGTTGCCTCATCATCGGCGTATTTCTGTCTACGGAGGCGTTTAAAAAATTTCAGGATAAACAAAACGCAATTAGTTTTATATAAGTCGGTATCTAGACATTTACTTTATACCTAGACACAACTAATTAATAATTATTCTTCATTATTTTAATACCTTTTAGACTAGAGTCGTCTCGCAACGTGGCGACTGTTTTTGCGATACAGTCGCCGCGTCGCGGGTCACGCAATGCTGCTCATGAATATGAGCCTCTACCATGGCTGGAAACTAGTCGAGTTCCTCGTCAAATAATTACGCGAGTAAACCGAAAAACATGAAAATTAATTTAGTATGTCTCACGAAAGTTATAACACAAATATTGGACAATAATTAGAAAGGAATCGATAATAACTTATTTAATTTTATAATCTGTAGAAGTGTAGAGGACCCCTTGAGTTAAGGTTACCAACAGTAAAAAAATCGTCAATTCTGGGTAATTCTAACTTCTCATTAAGATTGACACTGTGTCTGAGTAACGAATGGACATAATAAAATTATGAATAACAATTAAAGCTATCATGCAGCAAAGGACGTAAGACTATAAAATGTGGTCAAATATTTTATTTTTAAACCGTAAAGTAAGAAAGTTGTGAGAAAAAATTAGTTATATTAGAGAGAAAGGGCTAAATAATATATTTCACTGTTTCTTTAATTTACGTGCACTACATTGGCGAATGTAGTTTTACCTAATAAAAAAAGCGATTTAGTTTGATACTGTTTAACTATCTACACGCTTAGTGCAATGAATGAGCAACCCAAAGATATAAAAAAGGACATATGGTGTGGAGTCAAAAATGTATGCAAAACCGGTGAAGCCACAACTGCCCCTGCTGGAGCAACCAGTTGCATAACGCGTCACAGCCTCACAGGTTTATTTCTCGCACAGAACAACTATTTGTGTTATCCAGAAATTATCGTTCGGGTTTTAGACGTAGGTAATATGTGTGTGAATTTGTATGTTTGTAAAGGAACCGTCAAGATAGAAGAAATTGTTGGTAGGTATAATTAATAGAGCATCATGAGCAATAAATATCATACAGGTATTTTAAAAGTATTACTGAATACTTTTCATACCCTTCGCATACACATACATATATTAAGTTAACATATATAAGTAAAAAAATTACAAATGAGTATATTTTTAAATATAATCCTCCGACTTATCTACTTTAAAAGGAAGTGTAACTCACACGTGGGATCTTATCTAAAATTACTTCAAATCCGCTCTCCGCAAATTGTACAATGCATTTGTCTATTCGAAAACATCATAAAAAAAATCAACCGCTTAAAATTTAAAACTTTAAAATTAAATTACAGAATGAATTTTAATTTCGAATGCCAAAAGTTCCGAACTTAAGCTCTCTGTGTTGATAGGTGGAAAGCTGAAAGAACCGGTGCATGCAATAATAAGAAGGCAAAATAAAAGACAACACCTTGACATTGAACACGAGCGTATCTTCTAAATACTGGATAGGTACTAAATAAATGGACTTTTGTAATTAAGATAAAGTGATTTAATACTTACATAAGAAATATTCCGATGAAAGCCAGGAAGTTGATAATGGTATAATTGGTGTTCATATTGTTCCCGAAACAAAAGCTTCGCACAAAATGTTTGTCCTCTGACCTAGACCGAGTTTATATAACAAATTTAGGATGGCCCAGCGGCCTACGGATTTTTATTAAAAACAGTCAAAGTATTAGCGCACAATTTATCCAGAAAAGCCAGATAAATCAAGTCTATTATCATTTAATAGTCCTACGAACTTTTATTATCTTGTTAGATACGGATTTATCACTTTTCCATTTCCATAAACCGTTGGGCCGGCTGCTATAGGTCATGATTTTATGAATGAACATCCCTTATCACTAGAGTAGATTGTCAACGTAAAATGAGCACTATCACCTTGTGTTATGTTTTTATATTCAGTACAGATTGATATGCGCGCACTTTATCTTTTATAATAAAGTGTACAAAATGACAGCGCACGAAGCACTTAGCAACTTATTTAAAATTTTACGTACGATAAATTATTATAGATAAACTAAACACGTTCGCGCAAGACGACAGTCTTGTTATGTTATCATTGCAAACGTTAAGATTCATGTGCATTTATATAAGTCTCCTAATTGATGCCAGCACATGTAGCTAGTCTTCTTGGGATTCCCTCCATGACGAAGGATAACTGAAATTGTAAACTTACAGTGAAACTAGTATAAGAGTAAAGCGCCATCTTTTATTTCAACTTGGAAACATTACAATTTGCGCCTGTAAACCTGTAGCAGAAAATTAATAAGATAGATGTCGCTAGCCGAAATCTGTGAACTAATTTTAATATACTCATGGATACAATGATTTTATTACGTTAAGGATCATTAAACCTTGTAATTATTTGACAGACCTTGTGACAAATAAAAAGAATTCTTAAGCGTCTAATTCGAAATTTTACGATATAAATAATCTGTGACGGGATGTTGGTAATTTTTAGTGTGAGAGTGGCAACCCAGTATACTCACGTCATTGTTTCCAATCAGTTTTAAGTTCGGTACTAATCGGTGCGTCTCGCTTGTTTGTTTTGTTTACATTTTATTTTCATTTAAAACTTTTCTAACTTTGCCGTCCTTTGTTTACATTAGTACACTAATTAACGATAAACGTATAAGTGTTGTGCGTGACTGTGATATCTTATGTAATTACATTGCAATATTATTTGCATGAGTTTAGTCATCGTTCCGTGAATATAAAGTTTTGGTTTTCTGTTTTTGTGGTTTTTTTCGTGAGTTTTGTCAATATAAAGGGACTTCCGGATCGTTACCGTGGATAATAGAGGTTAGTTCTGTTTTTTTATACATTTCCTGATCTGTGATTGATAAACGCGTGACATCAAGTAATGTAACTATCTTGATTTTGCCTTTTTGAGTTTTGTCATTGCATTTTTTTTTGTCGGCACAGATGACCTCGATTCGATTTTTAAAAGTCAACTTTTTCGTTGTCGTAATTATTATCTGTGGTAATCTGAATGTATATTGTTTTTTATTTATTTAGTTGCGGTACTTTATTACGATTTTTAATGTATAAAATGATTTAACTAAAAAACATTTTATTCTTTTTTCCATGATTTACAGATGCAAAATCTCAAAAGGCTGTATGTTTTTTTCATGAATATTACATTGAGACGGCATGGGTAACACAAAAAGTTTGGTTACTTGCATTTTGAAACTTTTAAGAACTTCTAATAAAACTTTCTTTGTAGTAGTTATATTAGTAAATCATATACTCTCATACTCTTTTTAGTATTAGGTATTATACTGTGAAAAAAGCAAAAAAAATCCCATCAGTTTTTATTAAACATTCATTAAAAACAGTTTTTCATAGTAATTCTGTCTTTATTTTTCATATTATGTAGTGTTTATTATTCTAAGTAGTTGATAGCTGTGTCTTATTTTCTAAAATAGGTTTCATTCATCATTTGTTAAACTTATTAAACATTTACAAACATCTTAATTAATAAAAAAATCCCAGGTTAATCTAAATTTTTTCAATCTTTCAGTTTGTGTTGAAGAGACCAAAATAATCTGATTGTTATTACCAATAATAAAGTATAATTACAAATCTTATTGTATTAATTTTCTTATAAGATTGTAGATAAAAAAACTTTTACTTAAAAAGTGAGTGTTGTGTCGGTGGCATTGAGTACCGTAATGTGCACCTCTGCATATCCTATCGGGGATAAAAGGCGTGATGTTATGTTAAACCAACACAAAAAATTGACACTATAATTCAAAATCAGTGTCGTAAAACTGATATTTGCATTCAAACGGAATATATTTTGATTTCATTGCACAAGTGTGTCCGAATATGGTCTGAGTGTGGCAGTTGCATGTAGGCGTTGTAATTATGTCCCACACCACATCCTTGCTAACATCTGTTCTAATAACTGTTAGAATACATAAATATAACTGTTTATTGCTTTTTGTATTATAAAATGTATTAAAGGAATACTTTATGTTGTTTTTTGTTGATTTGTAGAATTGTTTTATAGAAATTTTAGTTGCTTCGTTTATGTGACTTATTTTTTTTGTGCCTAGAATTGATCAAAAACATCCTGTTTTACTGGTTTGTAGTAGATACATCCTGTTTTAGTGTTCGATGTCTGGAGTGCATTTCTAAAACACCAATTAACACTCTATCTCTAATAATCGTCAATATGTTTAAGCCTTTGACTGCTGACAGAAAACAGTTGAAGGCAAATCCTCCGCTAACGTAGGTTAACATGTTAAGTAACTGTGATCTTTAAAATGAGAACCGCTTTTATGTAAAGGAGGCCTGTAGTCCTGTTACGGGCTGTTGACATTGAATCAGCTTAAATATTTCAGTTTGGCGAACTTAAATTTGAAACCGCACATTTGTAAAATTCTCCTGAATAAATATATTAAATAGAAATAAAATAAAGTTTTGGTACATCATATTGTTATAATGCATGATAGGTTTGCAGATAACTACTTAACCCGTATATCCCCAAGCAGTCAACCAACGGTGACAGCTCTCCACTAAATACATTATAGACCTTATTTCCAATGACTACTTTTGTATGAACAAATTTAGGGGATGATTTTCAACAATTTTCAAAGGGTTAACTTACCTTTCTTTGAATATGACCTGTATTAGTATTTGTTGTTATTATCGGTACAAATTTTAACCACAAGTTATCACACATGAATGTAAACTGTATGTGTTGTGTAGGTCATAATTATGTACCTATTGTATTTTCCCGTACATTTAAATCAATGAAATGTTATTTATTTATAAACTGTTGAATGACTTCATTCAATATAAAACTTGGTGTACAATAATACTTATAAATACCTACATAAACATTCAGTATTGATAAGGCAATAAATATTGTTGCAATTTATTGGTATTTCTATAATTATGGCTACACTGTAGGTATAGGTATTTTAAGTTTTGTAACTAAATTTAACTAGTTATCGTTAAAATCCTTCTAACTATTCCATCTAAAAGTGTAGGTTTTTCGATAACTAGGTACCTAACAATGTTTCTGTAGTAACTATCGTGGGACATTCTGCATTAACTAAAAATAACGATTTACTCACGTACCTGAATATACTAAGAAACTTACTAAGAAAGGTTCTACTAGTTTCGAGTCAAAGATCCCTCTTTGACTCGAAACTAGTTGAGCCTTTCTGCTCATGAACAGCGCGCCCGGTTGAGACGACCGACGTCGCGCAACCTTTTCTCAGTATATTTACTTGAGTTAACCGAACTATTAAAAATTCTCGGTAACCAGTTAGTTACCCAATTGCATATAGTCTAAAATTAAGTCTGAATCTCTCATCATCTCATGCTGGGCAAGATGCTTCATATCATCCCGCAAAATAATTTAATATTATGTAGAGCATACAGTTGAATTGTACAGTTTACTTGAAGGTGTGTAGGCTGTGTGGACCTACGATTTAATTGTACACTACTGTACAATTCGACGGTACAATTGAAACGTAAGGTGTATAGTTTGCATAAAAGGAAAATTTCACAAAACCTAACTAGGTACCTAAGCAGTTGTTTAATAATTGCACGTCACAATAAATTACCGTCTGCAAAATTATAACTTACGAGAAGATTTCTAATACACCATGCATGTAGGAAAAACTTAGTATTTACGAATGTCCTAAGGGCATAACGAATGGCGCTTTCTATGTGAAAACTATGGTACCGCTATTATAAAACCGTTCATTTATATTCCACTGATGTGCCGTTTACATTGCTATCTGCTAAGATAGTATTTATTTCAACGCTTAAATGTGAAATATAACATGGGCTTATAGCTAAGAAACACCCACTTTTCACCAGTCTGTTATAGGTCCAATAAAATCAATAAAAAGATCGAATCTGGTTATAGTTTGTTACAAAACTCACCAATACAGTCAGTCTTTCAATCAGTTTGACCGATAAGGTGCTACATTTCTGTTAATACTGTAATAATTTTAACTCATATGTAACACCTGCCCGCTTCACCAAGTCGGGAGCAGTCTTTCGATGATTTTCCCCCCTTAAAAAAAGCGGCTATTTCTGGCGCAGAAACAGTTCTGTTCTTTAAGAGAGCGTTTCTGTTTCGGCCTATCAATTAAAAAAAGAGGAACCAAACATTAACTTCCTCAATTTATTACAGCTCAAATTGGATTAGACATTCCCATGAATATAATAAAAGAAGCATTCCAATGTGAACTGCAAAAGGTCTTCAAACTTCTTGTTTTAATTCTTAACTATCCGGGTTTATTCAAGGCATATCCAGTTCTATCAAATATCGCGGAAAATCTAACGGGTTACCGAGGCTTCGACTCCATGTGCAGGACAAGGAACGGGGTGGGTTTTAGTCAGTAAGAGTCCGACACTCCGGATCCCGCCTCACCCAGGCGGGAGCAGTCATTCGATGATTTTCCCTCTTAAAAAAAAATTCTATGAAATGGATCACCGGCGAATTTAGATTTAAACTCTACTTACTACGTTTTATAAGTGAGGTCTAAAAGTTTTTACAAATGCTGGAAAAATTCAATGCTAGGTGTAAAAATCGATAAGTGATACGTTTATGGACTATTGTGAGGTACAAACCTATCACGGTTACCGCATCTGTAATGAGATCGATGCAACCGACTGACATTGCTCCAAAGTCGTCGTTGAAGAAGGAAATACGTGACTGTTCATTATTGCGAAGAGGATAATTTGTAAACAGGAAAAAATGTTAAGGACGTTTTTCCAGGTACGTAAAGAAAGGTAGGAAAGTAATTAGTTGATCGTCTTTTAAACAATAACTGTATGAAGAATTCAAGTTAACTATTGCTTAAACGTTTTCACGCTGTAGTTAGTTCCTTGGCCAAAAACAAATGCCAATCTCGTTATTTATTTCTTCATTTCGTGTGCAAGACTTCTATTATTTGTGTTGCCATCTAAAATACTTGCGTAGGATACTGCTATTGCTGTAAGATTAGTACCTACATCACCCAAAAACCGACAAAAATGGCAACTCACACAAATGACACGGCACAAAAAGTGAGACAATAAAAATGACTGGAAATATACTTAAGAAATTCCTTATGAATATTTATTGCTCTAGATTTGCTTACACTAATGATGATGCGAGGAACCAGAAAGTGTCTCGGGGCAAAACAAGAACCGCTAATTCAGACTAATCATAAAGAACCATCCGCAAGTCGCAACTTATCCGTCATTACGTCAAGATAATGCCCCTGATCTTCCTTAGAAACCATCTTTGCCCAGTTTTAACTTTCTAACGCCTACTGCGGTTATCGCGGACCATATTAGTCATAGACGCAATTGTTTTAAGAGTGAGAGTGGCTTGCGGTTTCAGAATACAGGGTCTCGATTCTGCAGTCAATTATGTGATGACATCATGTTTCGTCTAGACCACAGTTTGCAAGTTATAACTTGTTGTGTTTTTAGGGCAACGGAAAAAGGAAGCCGGTCCTACGTACCTTTATGGTAGAATGACATCATGAACAACTATTTTGAACAACCCTAAAAGGAGTTTGGATACAACTAGCTAGCGAATATGGAATGGAATGTTGAGAAAATGGCACGACAATGAAGATTTTGGAGTAAAGATTTTTAATATCTGCCGATCTCAAAGTAACTGTCAAAATAATACCAAAAGTAGGAAAACTAGACTTCATATTATTGAAAAGTAAAGTAAGACTCGAAGTCCAAAATTAACTATTGAACAAAACGTAGAACATAACCTCAAAAAAAACCGAAAAATTTAACGTAAGCGGGCTAAATTAAAATAACCAATATCG